TTTATAGAGCTGAAAAACACAGCTAAAAGCTAATTCATAGAGCTTAAAAGTTGCTAAAAAAAACTAATTCATAGAGCTAAAAAGATATCTAAAAAAATAATTCCTAACCCAAAAAGACAGCTAAAAAACTAATTCATATAGCTAAAAAGGCAGCTAAAAAACTACAGTAAGACTAGTTGAATTGATTATGCCTATTGGCAGTAAAAGCAGACAGCAGTGTCAGCAGGACCACAGCCGTCGTGGTACCAGTTGAGACATTCTGGGCATTGTCATCAGTCATCAATGGGTGGTTCGTTAAATCTTTTACCACACATGCAACATGACGTATCATCACTGTTAGTAACAGAACCTACACATCTTCGTTCTTTTGACCCTTTTATTATCACGTTAGCATTCGATGCGTTACTTTTGATTGTCTTTTTTGATTTTGCTCTCGCATATTCCTTCCTTTTCCCGGTTTCTTTGTCATCTCCACTTTTCGTTCTCTTGGATTTGTCTGCGATTACATCGATTTCGTCTTCATCATTTTCCTCATTATTATTTTCAACTACTACTTGCTTGTTCTGTTTTGTCTTCTTTGCATTTGCTTCAATTAACATTGCTTTATAAGGACTAGAAGTTATTACAGTTGCTGCTTCGGTTTTTCGTTTGCGACTGCGTACATTCTTTATCCTTGGAATAGGGCTTAGTTCTGATATAATCTGCAATGCTTTGGATAAACCAGGATGATCAGCTGTTTTATCTAGATGATTTTCATCGGACTCATTGCTATCTCCTGTTGCAATCCTATCAGTCTCCATCACATTAACCGATGCTTCATCATCCACCGCATTGCCGGCTTCTTCATTTGTATTCGTAGGTTCACTTGTTTTGTTTCTAGCTAGTAATGCTCTTTCCATTATTTGGATGTTTTTAACAAGATCTTGTTCAATTTCAATAGAAAAAGTATTCACATGATTTCCTAATTTATTGCTCCCAACTTGTCTTACTTTGCCCTCCAAATGCCTTCTCAATGTCTTCCTTGAAACTCCAAAACTGTTTTCAGCTTTACGCAAAGACATACCATTTTTTACTGAATCTAAAGCCCGTTGTAAACCTTCTGCTCCATAACTTCCTCTTTTTGTCTTCCTTTTGTAATTTCTAACCATATCTATAAATAAAATAAAGTTAAAATTTGAATATTCTACTTAAATAATGCAAGGGGTAAAAAGCTCAGGATGGGCCTTTTGCCCCATTAACAAACTGGGCTTTTTGCCCCAAAATGGTCGGTGCAAAAATTGATAAAAACATATTATTCTATGGTACAATGAACGTTATGTAAATAATCAATACATAATTTGTACGCTTACATATACATAAACTCATTTAAATAATCAACTAAGTTTAACAATAATCTACAAAAAATTTTTAAAATTACGCAAAAAATCAAAATGACCTATTCTTATTACCTGTCAAGTCTTCAATATTCTGTTAAAAATTATATTTCTACTAAAAGTTCACCAAAATTCGCTCGCAACACTGTTACACATTTATCATTCATACTACAAAACAATAATTATAATATTTTACCTAGGTTCTTTATAACTGCAGGATGGGCCTTTTACCCCACCTGGGCCTCTTGCCCCACCCTACCCTATCAGAGATGGAGAGGTCTTGTTTTAACGCTTGATCATATTTCGGATATACATTGCAGTTTAATTTTAAAATTTTTTGTTTCAAAATATTTTGAATCAAAATTATTTCTGTAAAAAAATTTGCACATCGGAGTCGTAAAAATCATTTAGTAAAAGATTATTTGCAGTTTCGAAGATGTTAAAACGCAGCGTTTCAAAATCCTTTGTTTTGTGTTTGTTTCCGTTAGGGCCGTCCGAAGAGATTTTAAAGGAGGGGGGGGGGGTGATGTGTCTGTTTTTTGCCTACTAAAGCCAAAAAAAATTGTTTTAATCGCTAACTTATCTAAAAAAAAAAATAAAGGTCCTCGTTTTTCCATATTTGCCGACTGCCAATAATAGATTCAATTTTGCCGACTCTAGTTCCAATTTGCCGACTGAAAAAATTCGTGGGGGAATAAACACCCCCTACGCCCCCCTTCGGGACAGTCCTGGTCATTGTGTAAAGTGCGGTAAATTAAAACGTGCTAGCATAATAAAAAATGTACAGAACTATTTCACAAATCTCAATTAAGTACGTTGTTAAAATTAAAATTATATACGAAAATCTCTGACAAATATTTTATCATATTTGATAAATATATAAAAAAAATTTTAATAGCAAATTTACCAAAATGCGTATGCGTATTACCATAAGCATAAGTTTATAGCTAAACAGCTCAATTTGCGTTTTAAATAGTGTTAATTTTAATAAAACCGCTGAAAAAAATGACGTACTTAATTTTTATATATCTTTTCCATTTATTTCTTGTACACGCTTTAATACGTAATAAAATTTCGTTAAATATATACGTAATAAAATTTTAATTAAATATCATATAAAATATATTTTGTTATTGTTTAACAACAACAACAAAAAAAACAAAAACGTTGTTATTAAAGCTTATAGGAGAGATATTGTAATTGTAACGATACATGAAAAATAAACGCTGATAGACATTTATTTCAAACACATTCATCATTTTCATATCTTTCAATAAGGGTTTAGCGTGTTCACGCCTATCCTTATAGTAAATTATTCTGCAAGCATATTTTTTATACAGTTAAACAATACAGTTTTTCAAGCTTTGATGTTTGAGTACTTGCCCATGAAATGCTTGCATAGCTGATGAAGCTATCTATTAGTCCAAAGTAGATTAATTTAAGACTTTGTGTATTGACGAAAGAACAAACTCGATACACCAAACCTATAATTTTGGTGATTTTTGACAGGATGTATATTATATGAGGAAGCCAGGATAACTTTTTATCAACAATGATTCTTTAGAATCTTATATTGGTTAGCTTTTTTTATTAGTTTATCATTTAGGAATAGTTTCGGCAACTTGAGAGAAAGATTTTCTTCTTGTGAGAAAGATTTTTTTTATGAATAGTAAATACTTTGTTTTCTCTGCATTAAGCGAGAGTTTGTTAGCTTTAAACCAGTTGTTTACTTTATCTAGTTCTATATTCACGTCAGCATATAATCTTTTGATATCATTGTTAGTGAGAAATAGATTCGTATCATCTGCAAACATGACCGAATTCAGTTTTAAGGATGCATTACAGAAGTCATTTATATATATTAGAAAAAGGAGTGGGTCAAGAGTCGATGCTTTCGGGACTCTATATAAGACATTTAGTACTCCAGATTGGACATTATGTACATATTGTTTTCTGTTGGTAAGATCCAATAATAGGTTTTATTAATTATTCCGTAATGTCTTAATTTATTTAAGAGAATTAGGGTCGGACTGGCGTGGGGGGTTTGGGGCCCCCGTCGGGCCCCTGCTATGTTTGGGCCTCTCTCTATTTTATCGACACCTAAAAAATAGGTCTTTGATATGTATTAAAGGGAAATTTTTATAAACAAGGTGGCCCTGCATCTATATCTGCCCCGAGCACCTAAGTGAAAGTCCGACTCCGAAGAAAATGCAATGATCTGCTGTATGAAGACCTTTTGATAAATCAAGAAATACTCCAAAAGTAAACTTATTATTTTCAAAACCATTATGTAATTGATTTAATATTTCAATAATTACATGCTCAGTAGAAAGATTTTATTGTTGAAAGTTGAAAGTGGGTAAAAAAATTGTTTTTAATAAAGTAGTCATATTATAAACTACACGTTCGAAAGTAAACTACACGTTCGAAAGTAAACTACACGTTCGAAAGTAAACTACTCGTTTGAAAGTAAACTACACGTTCGATGAGTTTTGAAAATACATAAAGTATTGATATAGGTCTGTAGTTTGTAATGCTAGAATGATCATTACATTTGTATATTGAAGTTACTTTTGGTAATTTAAGTACATCCGGAAAAATCGTAGAATTTAACGAGAGTTTTAGTATATGTATTAGAGGTCTATTAAAATTGTGTTTATTTGCAATAACTATATCGCTAGGTATCTCATCAAATCCTGGTGCTTTTTTTTTTTAAAATCGTCATAGCTTAAATCATAATCATGCATGTTAATGTTATTCGTGGGTTTTAGATTTTTAAAAAGATGGATGATATTTATAACTTTTGTAATTTTTTTCATTATCATTATTTTTATTTTTTAGAAACTTTTTGTAAAGTTTTTTTTTTTTTTTTTTGAGCACTGCAATAATGATTTATCCAGGGCCGGTCTTAGGCCGATTTGACCGATTGCTCCAAATAGGGCCCCGCGCTTGGTAGGGGCCCCGCAATTTATAGCATATCATTATAAATGGCAGTAATTTTTTTTTATAAATTTCTATCAATCTTAATATAATTCGTACAGTTAACGTTGAACGTTTAATGCGCATGGTAACGTCTATTGTTATTTTTAGTTTATCTTAGTTATTGCGGTATATGGTATAAAATATATTAGTTTCCAATCTACTTTCAAAAGTTCCAGAAGTACTTATTTCCGAAAATTCACGAGGCAAGCAATGAACATGGCGGCAGCTTTTATATTGTTAAAGATTAAGCAGTATTTACTTTTGAAATGTTTGTAATATATTTTTTGTTTGTTTATGCTATAATTATTTTTCATTTTGTTTACTATTAGTTTTATTTACTTTTGTTTAACGCAAACTTTTCTCGCTTTTCAGTAAATATTTTATATTTAAGACAATATAAATTTTATTGGATAATTTTAAGATTACTTTTTTTCAAGTCTAATAAATAATCTTAATATTAAATGTTTGTTTATTTATATTAAGATATTTGCAGTAATCAATTGCTTACATTTGTTAATTTTACTTTTAATTTTGACAGGGGGATTTTTTATTTATTTTAGTTTAATTAAACTATTTTATTTTATTGTGCAATTTAGTAGTAAAAAAAGAGATAAGTTTTTAGTTTTGAAGAACACAAGCCAAAATATGAGTAAAAGACAAAGGGACGTTGGTAGAAAATATCTAAGTGGTAACATGAAGAGAACCTTAGCTAAGGTAAAAAAAACTGAAGCAGAAAAAAAAAAGGTGCGTTAGATAAATATTTGAGTAAATCAGTAGATCTGTTTGAAACTGAAAAATCAGACAAACAAGTCGAGTCAGACGACAGTGAAAAAAATATTTCTAAAGAAATTACATCAGAAGCTAGTAGTAGTTTTCTTTCTGGATGTAATGCTCAACAAAATACATCTGAATTATGTATAAATATATGTGTTAACACACACAAGGATAATGAGGATATTTCAGAATCAAGAGAAGGAAATTCAAACCCAGCACTATGTGATATTTTAAAGATAAAAGATGACCCTGCTACATGGCCAAATAAAATAAATCAAAATGTCAGAGATTATTTAGTGAACGAAGGACCCCCTAAGATCACTGTAGAAAATTTTCCGCAAAATGAAAAAGGGTTACATTTTTCGAAATTTCACTGTAAAAGAAAATTAAAAAATGGGGAAGTTATAGAACGACCATGGCTAATATATTCTGAATCATTTGATAAAGTTTACTGTTACTATTTCAAACTTTTTGACAAAAATTCTGATTCTGCACTTGCTACTTCTGGATTTGACAGCTGGTCAAATATTCATACAAGATTAGAGGATCATGAAAAATAAAAAAAACTTTTGCAATGTACACTTAATTGCTATGAACTGCAGCAAAGGTTATCTACTGGATTAACTGTGGATACATTAAATGAAAAATTTATAAGACAGGAAACAAAACGCTGGAATCAAGTCTTTGAGCGACTTGTTGCTTCTGTACAGTTTTTGGCAGAAAGGAACTTGGCGTTTCGTGGGTCTGAAGAACAAATTGGAAATCCACATAACGGCAATTTTCTAGGCGTCATTGAATTGCTAGGGAAATTTGATCCAGTTATGCAAGATCATATACAGAAAATTATTAACAAAGACATTCATGATCATTATTTAGGCAAGAGCATACAAGATGAAATTATTGATACTATAGGCCAAGCTGTTCTACAGGAAATTATTGCTAGAATTAAGTCGGCAAAGTATTTTGCAGTGATTCTTGACTGCACTCCTGATATCAGCCATCAGGAACAGATGTCAATGGTGCTAAGATATGTCGCTGACGGCACACACTCAGATGTCCCAGCAGGAATTTATGAACATTTTATAAAGTTTGTTATAGTTGAGAGCAGCACTGGTGAAAATTTATTTAACACTCTTGTGAAAAAAATTGAAATGCTAGGACTAGATGTTGAAAACATCAGAGGACAAGGGTATGACAATGGAGCTAATATGAAAGGACACAATTTTGGAGTGCAAGCACGACTTTTGGAAAGAAATTCACGAGCTTTCTATACTCCTTGTGTGTGCCATAATTATAATCTTGTTCTAGGAGATATGGCTAAAACGTGTTCAGATCCCATGACATTTTTTGGAACCCTGCAGCGTATTTACACCCTTTTTGCTTCATCTACAAAAAGATGGACTGTTTTTAAAAAGCATTTGAAAGACCTGTCTGTTAAACCATTATCAGAAACAAGATGGGAATGTAGAATGGAAAGTGTTAAAGCTGTGCGATTTCAAGCCGCAGAAGTGTGTGATGCTTTAGAAGAACTAGCAAAAAGCACAAATGATGCTCGAGGGAAAAGTGAGGCTGAATCATTAGTAAGCCAAATGACAAATTATAGGTTTCTGGTTGCACTATGTTTTTGGCACTCTTTATTGTTTCAAGTAAATTTTACTAGCAAGGAACTTCAAAGCAATACCATAGACATTGCCGTGGGGCTGACATCTTTTGAAAAATTGTTTGATTGGTTGAAGACATACCGAGAGACAGGCTTTGTAGCTGCATTGATTGATACCAAAGAGCTTGCAAATGAGTTAGAAGTTGAACCCATATTTCAACAGAAGCGCTGTTACAAGAAAAAGAAAATGTTTCTTTATGAATCTTCTGACGAACCAATTTTAGACCCCAAGACAGAATTCCGGGTAAATTTTTTCAATCAAGTTGTAGACAAAGCATTGCAATCTCTTCAACCACGGTTTATGCAGCTGAAAGAACACCATAAACTTTTTGGATTTCTATATAATTTTCAGAATATGTCTAAAGAAGATCTCAGAAAACATTCAGCCGACCTAGAAATTGCTTTGACAGACATTACAAAAGATATAGAAGGGTTCATGCTTTCCGAAGAAATGGAGGCAATTAAGCCAATACTGCCCGTTCAACAACAAAAACCCAAAGAACTCTTTAAATATTTGGCTTGTAATGATAGGTCGACTGCATTTCCAAATTTGTTCATAGCCCTAAAAATACTGATGACAATTCCAGTTACAGTCGCTTCTGGTGAAAGAAGTTTTTCAAAACTAAAATTAATTAAAACCTACCTTAAGTCAGTAATTAACCAAGAACAACTAAACAATTTGGCACTAATATCAATTGAATCTCCTATAAGTAGAGAAATTAATTATGAAAAAATTCTAAAAGATTTCGCAAGCAAAAAAGCAAGAAAGATCCACTTTGACTTATAGATTATTTGTTTATTATGACAATAACAAGAACTGTTTTGTTTAAATTCATTGTAATATTTTTATTATTGTTTATTGATTCGTTTGTGAAGTTATGTTTTTTTGTATAATAAATGTGTTTCAATAATTTTATTAATAGTAGTTATTGTAAAAAAAAAAAATCAGGTGGGCCCCGCAAGCATTCGTTAAATTGGGCCCCGCAATTCGTAAGGCCGGCCCTGGATTTATCCATCCACGGATTAGCAATTGCTGTGGACTTAATTTTTATAATCTCTTTGGACAGGTTTCATTAAAATACTCCGAAAATGTATTTAAAAAAGAATTGTAAGCTTCATTATTATTTTGACGTTTATATACGTTGTTCCACGTTTCTTGTTTTAGTCTAATTGCTAACTTATTTGTGTTACTTATTTTTAAATTTCATTTTTTCTAATGTATGATTTTTGATTAACAGTTAGACGTAAATTTAAGGTTTTTTTATTTTTATCAATATCGGGAAATGATTGCTTATATCTGCCATAAACATACCGGTTTCGACAATAGCGTAGCAACAAAAAAAAAGCCTCGACGCAAAATTTTAACTTGGTCCCCGAAATTACTTTTATGCTCGCCCCCCTTCTCTTTTTTCGGACAAAAATTATACATTAAAACAAAAACTTTATTTTTTAAAAATTATTTATAAACAATTTTGATTTAATTAAATAGGAACCAGCACGTTACACCATGCAAGTCTAGTTAGTAGAAAATCTAATTAATGTTTTTTCTTGTCTTAATAGCTTCAAATTGGTCAATTACACCTTTTAAATTTAACTGAGTTACTATATCTGCTTCAGTAGCTATTAGGTTTAATGCAGACAAAATAATTAGCGCCATTGTTGTCCTTAAATGCGTTTTAATGTGCTTAAGGATCTTTTACCTAATGGGTAGTGTCAAATATACATAAGTGCTACTATTAAATTTTTAAATGAGCAACTCATATCATAATATGTCATTGTGGGCAAGGGTGATATGCAGTAATACGGAAATTTTCAATGGGTAAAATGCGAGAAAAGAGTGCGGAAAATTTCTCTTAACCCAAAGCTTATCGCTTACTCAACCAAAACACTTAGTCAATGATAGTAGATTCAATCTTCTTAGCCGCAGTATTAAAGATATCTTAAGCCATTCTTTTGCTTTTCATTGAATAGATTCAACCAAGGTTTATCAGTTTTTAAATTAGAAGCCTAAATTGACACTGTATATTTATGGTGTGGTCTAATAAACACTTTATATAACTTAAGAGCCATATTTTCATCAATAAACGTGAATGTCTTTTTGCATACCAGGAGTTTGTAAGAGCTTTGACAACTGTTCGAAATGGTGCGCTCCATTTGGTGGAGCGTGAAATAATGACTCCAAAATTTTAAAAACTTTTTAGGGATCGCTTTATTATACCTTTTTATTTTGTTTCTCATTTATTCCGAAAATTCTTAATTTTAGCATACATCTGTATTGATGTAGAGAACAAACGCGCTGGTGAAATCGATAAATTGGTGAAAAACCCTAGAGGGGAAAAAAATATCAAAAGTCTCTTTTAGATTAGTCACGCAAAATTTGTAGTAAAGAAAGCCATGTTGATTTTAAGAGAGCATTTTATTACCGTTAATGTGCTTAAAAGGTTTTTTTCTTAAGAAATATTTTGAGTATTTTGCAGGAATTTTTGCAGAGTTTAGTGAAATAGGTTGAGAGTTTTCAGCAAGTAATTTATCTTCCGGTATTTTATAGATATATATATATTTTATAAAACTTGCTATTTTCTTGAGAGTGAGTAGTAATTAGAATTAAAGAATTTATGAAATATTTTTGTAAATGAAAAAAGAGGGATATTAATGTTATTTATTTTTTATGTACTCTTTCTTTTTCGTTGTTTTATTAACCCAAGCAACTTTTTCGTTGTTTTATTAACCCAAGCAACTTTTTCGTTGTTTTATTAACCCAAGCAACCTTTTCGTTGTTTTATTAACCCAAGCAACTTTTTCGTTGTTTTATTAACCCAAGCAACTTTTTCGTTGTTTTATTAACCCAAGCAACTTTTTCGTTGTTTTATTAACCCTGGGGATAAAATATTCGCAAATAGTTCAAATGTTAGAAACTATCAAACTTTATAAAAATTTTTTTTTATACCTTTTTATATAATATTTTATAAAAATATTATATAAAAATATTTTAAATTTTTTTAATGACTAGAAGTGATAGATGTAATTTATGAGTAATACGGTTTTGTACACATATGTGTATTTACATAAAAACAGCGCTATTTAGTAATATGTTTTAATATGATGAAATAATTGGTACACAAATAATTCCCAAAGGACATTATTAAAGATTAGCATCATTCCCTATGAACATTGTTAGCGATTGATATAATTTCCTCACAAATAACTCCATTTAGAATTTTTTTTTGAAGGCAAATATTTCTAAATAGAATTATTTGTACACGAAAGAAGTCTAATTTGTGCACGAAGAAATTCTCGTGTAAACGGTTTTAAACTTAGATAAAATATGATACGAGAGGGAATAACGACTTCATTGATTTTTGATGCAAGTGTAAAATTTAGTATAAATTCAATTAAATAACTGATTATTTCAAAATTCGAATAAAAAATGGGTAGAACAGCTAAAAAAAAGATGATGATGGGACAGAATAAGAAAAAAAGGAAAAATACAGAAAGGTTGAGGTATATTTACCTATTGAAGTACCCACTGAGGGATTTACTTTAGAGACAGCTTCCACCTAATGGTGATATTCTAAGTTACTATCAATTTATCCTTCGCAAGTCACAGGTTAAATACATACCCACTTCTACTAATGTTGGTTGCAAATTGAAATTGAAATCCAAGGACCTTGTTTGTAAAAATGGTGTTTGTACAGATCTTGATAAATCTTGCTTGGTAACTAGGATTTAAAAAATTTAGGATAATGCTGGGTTTAGGAAAAAATTGTGATTTCTGGGTACGATATAAAAACCAAAGTCATTAAACTTAATTTAAAATACAAGAATTTGATTAAATTGTTTTCTCTAAACTGGAACAGCAGCCTTGATAAGCAATTAAAGAGAAAGATTTTCTCACAGAATCCTATTAGCCATTTGACATCTCGACTAAGAAATTTGAAAAATATATTCTTGCTGATAGACTGAGAAAAGATGATGTCAAGCTGGAAAATATTAAAGTAAGTTTATTAAATAACACTTTTTTTAGAGTCATATTTTCTTTCCGATTTAAAATAACTTAAGTAATAGCATATTATTTCCTTTAAAATATTTACGTTTAACTCTTTCTATGGTTTGGTCATCTTTCAAGAAAAACAAGAACAGTTAATAATTTATTAACAAATGTCTTAATAGATTTAAATATTTCTCAAGTTTTATAAAGACCAGAAGTTGGATAGGAAAGGATATAATGGGAACAAAAGTCGATGAAGACTGCAGTAGGAGAGTACTGGATGCAACAGGAGAAAGAACAAGCTAGATAAGTTGAGAGAGAAAGAATTAGAGAGACAGAAAAACTTAAAAGATATCAATGATGTTTTGTTGCCACATGACTCCATGACAGAAGAGACTTAATTCAGCAATGAGAAAGATAAGTCAAATGAGGACTCTGAAATCAGCGAGGATAAAGATTTCCTGGGTAAAGGTCGGAAACGCAGGTGTAGTATTATTTTAATAATATAGTTGTAATTTTCACAAGTTAAAGCTGTTTTAATGAAAAGTATATAGTTATAAATAGGTAGAAAAATACTATAAAATGATACCTAGGTACAATTTTGGAGATAAATCTAGCAGTAAATGTTAAAAAGCTCATTGAATGTACTGCTATTCCAATATCAAGGTTCAATGTTGGTGTACGACCTCATTTGGCAATTTTAAGTGAAGTATTTAAAACTGGAGGTATAGAAATTAATGATATACTGCTTTAACAAAGCACATTTCATAGAAAAAAGTTCAAATATGCAGAATTAGACGGAGACTTAGAGTGGATTTTAATATCTAATCATCTTAAAGGCCGACGGCTTATTCTTTATTTTGATACCAAAGTGTTGGAGTCTTAGTAAGTTTCCCGGATGACGATACCATGGAAGACCATCTTTTAGGTGTTGTTCAATGTCCCTCTTTAAAGGGAGTTTACAAATGCACAACCTTTTAGATTATTCAAAGGGAGCAGAACAAGTGCACAACCTTTTAGAATATTATGGATGTAAAGAGCAGATTATTGGTATATGCTGTAATACAACTGCAAGCAATATAGGGGGAGTCGATGAAGTAGTCCAAACTCTTACTGATAATTTGAAATTACCAATGCTGTAGATAATGTGTAGGAGACACATTTATGAAGTACATGTATCTCACTATATGGCTGTTTTTACTGCAAGAATACTAAAGGTCCAAGAGAAGCTCCTTATGTCAAGCTAAAGAACAAGTGGCCTGAAATCTATGAGAAAGTTAATAAAGTGATAAATTTAATTAAATTGGACTAGCAAAGAGATGATCTGAAGATTGGCTCTGTTCTTCTCACTGTTGCAGAGAAAACTAAGACATTTTTGACTAATGCTATCAACTTTTATAGTGTTTTCAAGGAATAATTATGGTACAGTTTACAAGCTTGTATCTTTCTTCCTTGGAGCGGAAGTACAAGATTTTAAGTTCCATCAACCTGGCGCCTGCCATTAGGAAAGATTTTTAGCAGATGCGATTTACATTCTGACTCTTTATATTACCAAAGATATCAGTAATATCTTGACAGAAAAAGAAGTGTTGCAGTTGAAGGGTGCAAGTTTGCTCATTGCAATTTGCTATGCTCAATGGTTTTTGAATAGTTTTTTGAGGATTCCTGGCTCCCTACAATGGTTTGAAAACTATCCAGACAGCTTATGCATTGAGAAAAGTCTGTAAGAATACTTC